AGCATCCTACTGCTGCCCGGGCCACTTGTCGCAGGTAGGTTCAATGGTGGCTTCCAGTTCTCCCCAGGTAAGAGGTTCGTCTAGGGGGCGGTCGTGGCTGAAAGCTTGGCCTGTCACCTGGCCAATTTTCGCATGGAGGGTGATTGCCTGCTGCCGCTGGAGGGTGACTGACCACCTCTGGCGATAGCTGTGCAGTACCTTATTTGCCACCGCCGACTTTTCGTCGCCCTGGTGGTTCCGGCGGGCTGAGAGGGCAGCCAGTACTCGGAGGAACTCGAGTGTGTCGGGGGAGCAGCAGCCGTATGTCTCAGTGGCGACTCCCAGCACCTTCACAAAGGTGAGTCGTTCGTCGTACAGGTCCCGCTTCTTGCCCTGCATCTCTGCCGCCATCCACCCCGTCCCCTTTCGTGCTGTTGGGTCGCGGGTTGAGATGGGGTCGGTGACTGTGACGTCACAGACCCATACCGCGCCTGAGTCCGGGCATCGGAGGGTGATGTCGGCGCGGCGTTGGGCAGTTTCGGGTAAGTAGAGCGTGGATTCCATGTGGGCCACGAAGTGGGATTCTCGGGCCAGTCGCATCCCGAGGTTCACGAGCGCGTCGTGGGTCCGCTTTGGACCCCCGCCTAGGGTGCACCGTAGCATGTGGTTGGGCAGCCGGTTGTCTGGTATCGCATGCTTTTCCCGGCAGTTGCATTTGCCGGGTAGGGAGTGCTGCAGGCCCATGCGGAAGGCTAGGGCCGTGGCAAATTGCCCCTTGCTCATGCTTAGGTCCGGGGAGAAGGGGATGGCGACTAGCCAGTCCCCTGCCCCTGGCCCGAGCAGGGAGAGGAGGCGCTGGGTGTGACCCAGGAGGGGGTTGAGTGGCATGTGTCTGGAGTCTGCCACCAGCCGTGCGTGCCTGGCCCCGTGTACCTCCAAGGCTAGGCATGCTGGAGCTTGGCGCCAGGTCCGTCGCGCGGGCGGGTGAGTGTGGACTGCGCTGGTTCGGGGAGTGCCGCTTCTAGGCAGTTGAGCAGGTGGTGTAGGGGCGTTTGGGCGGTGAAGGGCGGAGTGAGGAGGTGGAGGAGGTCGGCGAGGGGTGAGGAGTCAAGGGGTTCCATGAAGCGGAGGAGGTCCCCGGCCTGTAGTGCGGAGGCCAGGTAGCTGTAGCTGCCTTCTGCGGCGGGGTCAATGAGGCCGAGGCCTCCTATGGTGATCGGCAGGGTCGCCTGTCGCCAGAGGAGGTCTCGGCCTTCAGCGTCCCGTGGCTGTTGGAGCTCGCATGACTTGAGCGCAGCTTCCAGCAGGGACTTCCCCCACTGCGTCCATTCCTTGGGGGGGAGGAGGTCGGTGGGGGTGGTGCGGAGGAGGTAGGATGCCCTCCTCGTGATGCAGCGGGTGAGGAGCAGCAGCGCAACTTGCGGGTGCAGTTGCTCTACCAGGGGGAGCGCCGCTGCCGCTTTTTCGAGCGTGCGGCGGATGATGTTCCCGCATCCGTGGGTGGTGCCGATGGGGCTGCCCAAGACCTTGATGGCGTCGTGGGTGAGTGGTACTCCGGCGGGGATGAGCGCGGGGTCCACCGGTGTGGGTGACCAGGCCGCGCACTTGCTGGCGTTGCAAGTTAGTCCAACCGCTGCTGCCCGACCCGTGAGGGCATAGAAGGCGGCTGCGCATGCCGGCGGCGGGCCGATGATGGTCACGTCGTCGGCGTATGCCAGTATGAGGACGTCAGGGTTCCTCTGCTGTCATGGTCAGCGCCTGGTGGAGGGCGAGGGCGAACAGCATGGGGCCTAGCGGGTCGCCTTGCGTACGCCCCGCTCGCTGATGAGCGGGTCAGCGCCGAACGCGTGGTCGAGCAGCAGGCTCGATGGCCTTCCATAGAGAGGCGGGTTAGGGGCAGCAGCCCTTTGAGAGGGCTGTCGCGTAGGGCGCGGAAGAAGGCGATGCGTTCGACTGAGTTGAACGCGTTGGAGAAGTCCACCTGGAGGAGGAGGTGTTCGGGGTGCTGTTCGAGGTGGGTTCTTGTTGCGTGCACCGCCGTCTCGCCTCCTCCCTTCATCGCCACTCCGAACTGCAGGGGCGCGAAGTGGGCTTGGGCCAGGGTCGTCGTGAGGTGCAGGCTGGCCTTGCCGAAGAGGCGTAGTAGGCACTCGCCGATGGCGATGGGCCTGGTTCCGCCGTCGGGTCTGGTGAATGCCAGCAATCTCGAGGCGGTGAGGAGGTCCGCCGCCTCTAGCGGCACTTGCCCTGCGAGTGCCGCGTTGGTCACTTCTGTGAGCAGATTCAGGACGTCAGCGTTCGAGGCGGCTGCGTCCCGCAGATGTTCGAAGCACATACCGCTTGGCCCCGCCCCGACCCCATTCGGGCTCCGTCGAAGTACGGTTCTGAGCTCTCGGGTGATGGTGAAGCGGCTGCTGCGGCCTGTAATGGCGTCGGTGGGTGGTGTGCTTGAGAATGTCCCAGTTGGGGAGGGCGTGTTCGGCGGCGGGGTGTTTGTCTCGGAGGGCGTTAAGTGTCTCCAGGGTGGGTTCGCACACCGGGGTGGATTCCAGGGCTTGGAGGGCCTTCCGCAGGTTTCCGCGCTTAGTGAGTGTTTCCGCTCGGGCTAAGTGCCCGGCGGTGTCATTCGCGTGGCGTGGGGGTCGTGGTAGTGAAATCGAGGTCACGGCCTCGTCGTACAGTGAATCCCAGGCGCCGGTGCGAATTTGCGACAGCGTCGTAACATTCCGTCCCAGTCGGCTTCCTCGTCGACGTGGTGCGAGTGTCAGGCGAGGGAGGAGGAGTAACAGGCGCCAACCTCCTTGCTGTCCCTGTTACGCGCGAGGTGTAGCAGCGGTGTCAGCAGGCAGGACGCGAACTCCGCCAGGATTTCCGCGGTAGGCGACGTGCCAGGGGTGGGAGCCTGGAGTCGCGGAGCACGGTCATGTCCCACTCGCACACTTTGGCGAAGAGTTCGTCGTTCTTCGCCAACGCCAGAGGGGATTGTACCGCGCTGCAGGGGTTGGTCTGCGGCGACTGTCGAGCCGCGGCGGGTGTTGGATGTGGCGGCTCGTCGGTGGATTGGCCGGGCCGCACATTTGCGTCTCGGGCGGGGGAGTCCTCCAAATCTCCCTCGTCTGGGGCGCCTTCCCAGTTTACCCCGATTGGGGGGTATAAGTGGGGTCGTTTGCGTTTGAATTTCATCGTCCTCTCATCAGCTCCTCCGTGTTCCCTTCTGCTGCTCCCCTCGTAGCTCCTCCTCCTGGTGTGTCTGCAACTGGAGTGTCAGCACTTAGCCAATTTTCCATCCCTCGGTCCGTCCCCGTCTCGCCCGTTTCTGACTCCGTCGCTCTATTAGCGTTGCTTGCTGCAGCGGCTGGGTGTGCTCCCGTCGCCGATCTTCGCGTTGTAGCGCGGCGACGCCGCGGAAGGTTGCGCGCCTGTCGACGCTCGCCCGAGCCCTCGTCCGCCCTCGTTCCTCTGTCCTCGGGTTGTGCTTCTCGCCCGCTCCCCCCCGGGGCCGCGGTTGTACTTGCGCGGGCCGTGGCTCGCGTGTGCGGGGCTCTGCTTCTTTCCGGCTGCGCTAGAGATGACGCAGGGGTTGCTCTTCTCCCCCTCGCGCCTGCCCCTACGTGAGGCGGAAGCGTCCCCGTCGCCGGTGGGTTCTCCTTCCGGCGTCTCGCTGGCTCTGTCGCCAACGTCTCAGCTGCGCTTGGAGTTTCGGCAGCAGCAGGTCCAGGTGGCAGCGATCGCGAGCGCTCTCGAGCAGCTTCTGCGGCTGCCTCGGTCCGCTGTTGGCGACCGGGTCGCGTGTTTCCGCCGTCGCTGCGCCCGCGCCCGCGATTGGACGAGAGGGTTTCGGGGGAAGTCCCATGGATCGCTCCCCGCGTCGCCCGCCGCCTGTCGCCGGTTCAGCCGTCGTCGTTTCCTTCTCCGTCTCGGCTTCCGCCGTCGCCCTTCCGCCGTGCCCCTTCAGTCCCCCGGCCCCTCTGGCTCCCCTCCGTTCGAGGGGGTTCGCCGGTGGTCCCGACTCCTCTCCCCGCGGGGTCCTCCAACCGCTCCTCCGCTTCCTCCAAAGTCGCCAGCGGGACCACCAGCCGCTGTCGGACACGACGTCGTATCGGGTCAGGGCGTGTCCGCGGGGTCTCCGCCACTGCCCTGCCGTTTCGTCCGATGAAGCGTCCCCGCGGGGGCGCCGCGGCGGGCTCTCGGGCAGGGTCACCTCCGACCGTAGTGCCCGGAAGACGAAGGGACCGCTCTCGCCTCTCTCCGGTCGTCCTCAGGGGTCGGGTTTGCGGGTGGGGCGGGGTATGCCGCCGACACCAGTGGATGTGCTCGGCGACCGCCGCCGCTTCCTCGTCCGCCTGTCCGCCTGGCGTCGCCGCACGCGTTCTCGCCAGTTGAGGCGATGGCCGGCGTCGTCGCATGTATTGGCGCGGTGGCGGAGGTGCTGGATTGTCTCCGCCCACCGCCGCTGCAGGCGCCTCCACGGAAACCTGAGGCGGGACGGTCGTGGCGGCTCGCCGCCAGCAGCGACGCGCGATGGAGGCCGCGTCGCTACTCCTCTGGCGGCTGGCCTATGGGTTGCCGCCAGGAGCAGAGGCGGGGGAGCTGGATCCCGCTCCTCGCGCCGTTGATGAGTTGAATCGGTCGCTCGTGGCGAATCAGCGCCCGGCGATCTTGGCCGCTTGCGCGGCGGTGCTTCGGGCTTTGGAGAGTCGGGCCGGGGCCCTTGTCCCGCCGTCGGCTTTGGAGGTGTAGTAGGTGGGCGGTTGTCTGGCGTGTAGGCCAGGTCCCCGCCATCGTGCGCTGTGGGTGGCGCCGTAGCCATAGGCTATTTGCTAGGTTGTAGCCCCCTGTGGAGGCATGCTTGTATGCTGTAATGTCCCTGGTTTTGGAGTGGATCCCTGTCCCCACTCCTTCTCTGCCCTCCTGCCGCGGCCGCGAGGCGCCGGCGCGCGAGCGCCGCTGCAGGGACCGGATGAAGAACTCAACTCGAACTAAATAATGAACTCTAGGATGGGTGGAAGAGCCTTATATACCATGGGCTCTCTGTTCTCCTCTCTCTCTCAGGTTCCTCTCTCTCTCTCTCTTCCTCTCCCTTCTCTCTCTCTCTCTCTCCCTCTCTCTCTCTTCTCTCTCTCTCCTCTCTCTCTCTCTCTCCTCTCTCTCGCCTTCTCTCTCTTCCTCTCTCTCTCTCTCGCTCTCCCGAGCGCCGCTGCAGGACCGGATGAAGAACTCAACTCTCCTCTCTCTCCTCCTCTTCTCTCTCTCTTTCTCTCCTCTCTTCTCTCTCTCTCTCTCTCTCTCTCTCTCTCTCTCTCTCTCTCTCTCTCTCGCTCTCTCTCTCTCGCTCTCGCGAGCGCCGCTGCAGGGACCGGATGAAGAACTCAACTCTCTCTCTCTCTCTCTCTCTCTCTCTCTCTCTCTCTCTTCTCTCTCTCTCTCTCTCTCTCTCTCTCTCTCTCTCTCTCTCTCTCTCTTCCCCCCCCTCTCTGCCTTTCCTGGCCTCTGTCCCTGCCTCCTACTTCTTCCCTTCCCTTCTGCGTCGTTCCATTGCTCCTTCGTATCATGAGCAGGAAGATTGCCTCAAATCGTCTCTCAGGGTCCATCCCCGAATCAATAGGAAACCTCACAAGCTTATCCGAGTTGTATGGCTCCAATTTTGACCAGACCACTTCGTTTCCCACGTTGCTTCCATGTTGGATGCGCGGGCATGAACGAGGAACCAACCTTGCGTCCTTAGGGCAGGATGATTCGTGTGGTGCGCAACTTGGTCTATCACATGTTGCACTTGACTGCAGCACCCATACAAGTAATACATGGTTATCTTTGACATGTGCTTGTTCTCATCATTTAAGCACTTGCCAGTCAACATGTTCTGCCCTCCTCATTCGCTCCGCCTCTCTCATTCTCCCTTTCTATGGTCCCCTCTGCCATGGAATCGGACGCACTTACAATCGGGTCCTTCAGTAAGAATGGCCGGATGCCACTTGCGTTGTTTGTGAATCTTCCATTCGATATTGTAATTCTTTGGGTTTCCACCACTGACAATATCTAAGCCCGCATCCATTTTGTCTCACGGGACGGGACTGATTCCATCCAGTATGGGGCCATACCTACATTTTTCTCCTCTGCCCTCCCTTTATTTTCTCAATCCTCCATTGTTCCCTATCCTCTGTCTCTGTCCATCCCCACATAATTCCCTCCATCCCTCCCTTGTTGCGTACATCCGTACAAACCTCTATCCAGTCAACAGCACTCACTTTCGTCCTTCCTCTCTCCTCTTGTCCTCTTTCTTGACCCCCTACCCATCCACCTCGTGTCCCATTAGGGATCTATCAAACAACAGTTTTACCAGCTTTATTCCATCAACCATTGGCAGCTTAACCAACCTGATATTCCTGTCAGTATAATGGGATATTAACAAGGGGAAAAAGGTTCATTCTCGATGTGACATGCCTTGATTTTATTATGTATTATCAATGCTGTTAGGTGCATTGGGGACATAATCCTTTCTGGCAGTGCCGCATGTTGGATCACAGCACATGAGCCCTTCAGAAGTTCCAACTGTGATTTTTGAATGCTTATGCAATTTTTTAGATGCTGTGCGTGAAGTGTACCCTAAGCATTCTGTGTTTTCTATCACCAAGTTTATTTGTCGTCTTATTGCTCTCATTTTCTCGTCCATGCGCCTCTGCTATGCCTGAGTAACCCTATTCGTTTTAACACATTAACTTCTGCTCAACTTCCCTTTCTGGTTTAATCGCTGAATCCATTAGAAACCGTAGCAACATTAACCAGCTGTTTGACTCGTTTAAACCATCTTACTTCGGTACATATGTTTGCAATGCTTGGTTTGATGAGAGAAGACGATTCCAAGACCATATGTACATAGTCATGAGCTTTACAGAGCGATGTCAAATCCAAGCAATCTGGTAAAGGTCTGTCCCCTGGTAGTGTAGCCTATGTCATATTTGACCTAAGGCAAGAGGGTGCTGTCCCAAGCTTTGTCACATGTATTGTATAGAGTCTTGGGGCCTTAGCAAACTTAAATGTATGCACGGTTGAAGAAGCACTAGGACCGAAGAGGTGATGGTGGAGTCACCAAGGGCACCAACGATGCCGACGAGTTGAAATGTGAGAACCACCATCCGCTTCCAGTGGTTGAAGTTAGAGCCATCGGGGAGGAGGGAGGGTAAAGTGAGTCGTCCCAAATGGCTGTCCACAGTGGCCATAGCCCCAAAATAGGACGTCCACAAAAATTTACGCGATGGCCTTAGCTGAAAGTCGAAGAAAATGTTGTCAGGGGTGGGAGGAACGTTACAGAAACATTTACGGTTGAAAAATCTACTCAGATGCAGATGGGCTGACCAATAGAGGCTTAGCTATAGCTCTGATTACCATGTAGAAAAGTAGACTTGATGTGCATAGCTGTAAGATGCACAAGTTGGAGATGGTAACGATAGGTTCCAAGAGGAGCCCTAGAAAGTGTAAGACAAAAAAGTCAAATAAAGATGACAAAGACATTAGGCTAAGTAGGCCCAGATTGTGAAGAAGAGAGAGATGGAGAAGTGCTGGGCGACTTGGGCTGGTCCAGGTGAGGAGAATGGCACCCAAGAGGCTTGGGGTGCCCAATTGGGTGCTCAAGTCGCCCATAGTCAAGGTGGGGACGTGAGGAACCCTCAAAGTGGGCCTGGAAGCGCCCCCACTAGTGGAACCGCAATTCCACAAGTTGGATTCGTGGTTCCACAAGCTGGAACCGCGTTTTCATGGTTGAGAAACGTGGGTCCAGGTTGGAGTCGCGTCCCAAATGTTGGGATGCGTGGTGAGGTACCCCAATTCGGATTCTGGGGTGCCTAGCCTCTGATAAAATCACTTGGGGGGCACCCTATTCCTAATATGACCCAATTACTAATGTCTACACCTAATATAATGTAACACATTACACATAACAGAGAAATGTACTAAGTTGACTACATCCCAGATAAAAGCCTAAAACAGATCCTCAACAACAATCACATTTTTACCGCGGGATAGGGCTGCGAGAAAAATGTGAAAAAAATATTTGTCCATCGCACGATACTCTATTCCAATAAAAAATATTGCAATCGCAAAAACGTGATAAAAACGATGCGATATTTTGCTATGCTATGCGATATGCTCATGTTTAGTGCCAGCCATCTGCCCTGTTGACAAAAGTTGCTGGCAGGTACACTGCCCTTTTAGTGAAAACAATGGGGTTAGAAGTTTCCCACAAGTCAGCGTGGGAAACTTTCAACCCCCCTTTGGTGTCAGTGTCAATCTTCCAACTGCCCTTCGGTGCGCTTTTCCCCACTACGCTCACCATTCCGCGACCTCGCTAGCTCTCCATAGGAGGCAGACCTAGACTAGACACCCTTCACTTCACCATCTAGCATGTGGTATCGTTTTAGGCCGGCAGGCATTTCCTACATAACGCAAACCCTTTTAGTGGTAACTCTAGAAATTTACATGAAGCGGAAAAATTAACGTGTTTTTTTGTTTTGATTTTGGAAAATTTTGCCATCCCGGTTTTAGAATGTACGTATTTATGAGTAAATAAACGTAAAAGTAAGTTTACGAGTAAGTTAACATTTACGCGACCTCCTAAAACGTAATTTGGAGCAAGCTGGAACCCAAGAAATGTGGTGAAGGGCTGTCAGCCAGCACTAACAACGTACTGCATATTCAACATACTGCTTCCTCAGAAGGGTGCTGATTAACATTTGTCTCACATGTAGAGTCCCTTCCTCTCTGGCTCCAATCTGGAGTCCCTTGGGGACCGTACCGACCTAATAGAAACGCATGGCTCCTCTTCCTGATATGTGTCCAATCATTTCTTCTCCAAACTCGATGCTATCTCAATTTACACACTCCAGATCCTTTGAAGAAAACAATCTCAGTGGCTCGATACCGGCAGAAATAGGCAACCTTCAAGCTCTGACCGCGTTGTAAGTTCCATGATTATTCAAAGGCTAGACGCCTTTACCCCTTTTTCGTATGATAAGCTTCCAGTCAAACATGTCCATATTTCACCACCATGACATTCTTTAGTATTTCTCGGATCTATTCCATCCTCTATGTACTAGGTTTAGGGGGGACAGGGCCGAGGAAACCAGTTAGGGGATCACACTGGTACGTGCAGCACTACATTTGTGTTTTTTGGACTTCACCTCTTTTGTCAAGTTGCTGTCATGATGGATCTGCAGGCATACAACAAGAAGATTAAGTTGTACGACAAATCAGCCTTCTTTTCTTTGTTTCTTTTCTTCATTCAATGCCCTCCTCTTATCCTCGCCCTCCATGGCTCTGGACTCAGGTACCTCGCCAAGAACAGCTTGACTGGCGTTATTCCTGACTCCATCAGCAGCCTCACGAATCTTACCGTCCTGTGAGCGAGAGCTGTCTCCTCTTTGGAGAAGCGGATCATAGCCAGGGCCACGTGTTGCCCTTGCATCAGCTCAAATGGCAGCTTGTGTTTGTCACAAGGCTGACAGACCTGCTGATGCTCCCATTCACATGCCATAGCATTGCTTGGCTCTTCTGTTGGACGCTACTGCATCTACAATAAAGAAATGGTTCACTTCACTAATTTGTTCACAAATTTGCTGCCTGGCCACAAATCGGCAAATGAGCGCACAGAAACACATCTGAGCTAGCCCACCAAAAGCGAAATGCGAACAGCCAACCACAATCTACCCGTAACCATGCACAGGACACGTGAGGTATAGTAATGCGAGATTGCTGGCTCCATAAGCACCCACACAAATTGCTAGCTCGTCCCACATTCACAAAACCCCATGCATCCTGCGTTCTTAATGTGATAACTCTTCGGTCCCTGTATATTTCCATCGTGTGAAAGCAACCCTTGATTTGGCTCCCTTTTATGGCCTGCAGACGTCTCTGGGGAAACAATCTCAGTGGCTCGATACCGGCAGAAATAGGCAACCTTCAAGCTCTGACCGCGTTGTAAGTTCCATGATTATTCAAAGGCTAGATGCCTTTACCCCTTTCTTGTATGATACAAGGCTGACAGACCTACTGATGCTCCCATTCACATGCCGTAGCATTGCTTGGCTCTTCTGTTGGAACGTGTATGCAAGGCACGTTACCTCTTCTGGTTGCTCTTTACTTTGGTGAGAGAAGACAATTCCAAGACCATATGTACATTGTCATGAGCTTTAGAGCAATGTCAAATCCAAGCAATCTGGTGAAGGTCTGTCCCCTAGTACTGTAGCCTATGTCATATTTGACCTAAGGCAAGAGGGTGCTGTCCCAAGCTGTGTCACATGTATTGTATAGAGTCTTGGGGCCTTAGCAAACTTAAATGTATGCACGGCTTCTATTTCTCCAACAGTCGTTCTGTGCATAAATGTTTCTCATGACTTCTGTTCTTGATTGAGTTGAGTTCGTTACACCTTTATGCCTTAGCCATGATTTATGCCTTCAGCCATTATGTCTACCAAGGGGAAATGTGGCCCGAGGGAAAGATTGGGGGACTGGTGCTGGTGCTAGTATTTTTATCTCTTGCCATGCTTAATGCCCCAACTCGTGCTAATGTCTACTGGCATGTAAGCCCATGTGTGTCTTTGGAATGACTCCGCTGTCCACCACCACACATTCTCCTGTGTGGTAGAAGTCTAGGCTCGCTCCCATATTCTATCTCATGTCCTTCTCTCCATGTTCTTTGGGCTCTCCTCCCTCGTCCATCTCGCATTCGCTAAACCTAACGTCCGTGCCATCCTCGCGATGCCTCACTTTGTATCACGAGCAGGGCGTTTTCCTCAAATCTCCTCTCAGGGTCCATCCCCGAATCAGTTGGAAACCTTTCAAACTTATCTCAATTGTATGGCTCCTAATTTGACCATACCACTCCGTTTCTCAAGTGGCTGTCATGTTAAACGCACGAGAATATAACAAAACGGGTTATGCTGCACGAGGAAACAACCTTGCGTTGTTAAATGTCGTAAGTCGCCCCCCTTATTTTCCATCCTGTGAGTGCTACACCCCCTTTATTGGCGCGCCAGAGCCAGAGCCAGACGCCATTCATGCATTAACTGAAGCGGGTGCTTCTGTCAAGACGAATTGTTGATGCTCACATTCTGATGCCTATCTATGCTTGTCAAAGTACCTCTCCTCACGACTCTCCATCTTGGCATGGCATGCAGATATCTCTGGGGCAACAATCTCAGTGGCTCGATACCCGCAACAATAGGCAGCGCTCAAGCTCTGATCGCATTGTGAGCTGTTGAAATTTGTAGGGCGGGATGATTCGTGTGCTGCGGAACAGAGCCTATCATGTGGTTACAGCTCCCATATCCCTCATCATTAGATGCCCCACAACTTCGTTACGCACTTGCCAGTCAACAAGTGCAGTTCTCCTCATTTGCTCTGCCTCTCCCATTCCTCCTCTTCTCCATTTTATTGATCCCTCCTCCCATGGGATCCACTGCGTGCCCCAAAAGAGATCTAGCGTATAACGGTCTGACCGGCTCGATTCCATCAACCATTGGCAGCTTGACCAGCCTGACACTTCTGTCAGTAAACAGAATGAGACCACTCGACCATGAGTAATAACAAAAGGGGTGAAAACTCACTCTCACATCACATTTTCTCTTCAAATGTTCCAAGTGTGATTGCTCGAATGTTCATGCATCTCTTGAAATGCCTTACGATTCAAGTGTACTTCAACCCTAAGCGTCCCGACATTTCCCTCCCAAGTTTTTTGTCGTCTTATTCCTCTCCTTTTCCCGCATCCATGAGATTTTTGTTATTTTTGTCATTCAATCTTGAACGCAGGAACTTCCACTCAAACTCCCTTTCTGGTTTCATCCCTGAATCCATTCGCAACCTTAGCAACTTAGAACTATTGTACGATCTGTTCCAAGGCTTTTTGTTTTCCAGATACGTCTGCAATGCTTGGTATGGCGAGAGAAGAGGGTTGCAAGACCATATGCAGATCCTGATGTGCTTTGGAGCTAAGTTAGATCTTACGTTTTACGTACGTACGTTTACGCTCTACGTTTATGTCGCTTTACGCTGTCGCAGGTTTGGGATGTATGTTTACGGTCAGACTTGTAGCCTGCCCAGGGGGAAAAAAGTACGCTACTTGGACAATGTGGAAGGAGAATCCAGTGATTCATATAAGCTTCCTCACGTAACACTAGACATGGGTATAAATGTATACGATAACCAATTCAGTTATGTAGTATGACTAGGTGCCGAACTCAAGTTTTATCGCATCGCGTTTTATCCCATTTTGCGATTGCGTCGTTTTTTTTTTTTGAAAAAATCGCAGCGATGCGATGCGATTTAATCGCGCGATTTTTGCGATATCGCGATATATCACACTTTTTTTAGCACGATATAATGCGATATGCGAGTTAAGAAAATTGTGCGTGATACTTCCGCGTATCGTGCGCCTATGTTGCAAAGAACACGGTTTGTGTTTAAAACGCTAGCGTTTAAACGGTAGCGTTTAAACGCTAAACGCTCAGGAGCCGGGGGGCAAACGCCATGAAAACGCTAGGTCCGGCAGGGCCAAAAAAATCTTTCGGGCAGGGAGCTTAGACTAGAGACTACTGTCTAGGTCTATATCGTAGCAATAAAGAAGTTCAAACTGTGCAGCGGGGAGCTCTGAGGAGCGCCTAGTGCGCCAGATCTGTACTACGATCGACCCGTTTCTGGTGAGTAGAAGTATGTGAGGAGTGGTGTTGGGTTTCCTGGATGAGATGGGGTGGAGAGCGGTTGAAGCAATTTTAGGTGTTGGTTGGCATTGAACCTTCATTAAGTTTCGCGATGCTATTGGTTGGATTCGCCACATCGCGAACTGTCGCGGCAACTTTTTCGTTGCCTGAAATTTAGCCCTGGCGATGTGATATCTCATCGCATTGCGCGATATTTCGCTCGCACTCTACAGCGCGATATTTAAAAATATCGCACCCAAAATGCGATATGCGATTTTGGGTTTTTCAAAAATATATCGCGACAATGCGATATCGCATCGCCGCGATATAATGTGCGATAAGTCAAAATGAGATGCGATATCGCACCGCATCGCATTTTGACCATGTCTACGTAACACCCACTTGTAGTGCCACCTAGACATGGGCAAAATGCGATGCTATATAAGATGTACGACAAATCAGCCTTATTTTCTTTGTTTGTTTTCTTCATTCAATGCCCTCCTCTTATCCTCGCCCTCCATGGCTCTGGTCTCAGGTACCTCGCCAGCAACAGCTTGACTGGCGTTATTCCTGACTCCATCAGCAGCCTCACGAATCTTACCGCCCTGTGAGCGAGAGCTGTCTCCTCTTTTGGAGAAGCGGATCATAGCCAGGGCCACGTGTTGCCCTGCATCAGCTCAAATGGCAGCTTGTGTTTGTCACAAGGCTGACAGACCTGCTGATGCTCCCATTCACATGCCATAGCATTGCTTGGCTCTTCTGATGGAATGTGTATGCAAGGCACGTTACCTCTTCTGGTCGCTCTTTTCTTTGGACGCTACTGCATCTACAATAAAGGAATGGTTCACTTCACTAATTTGTTCACAAATTTGCTGCCTGGCCACAGGTTGGCTAATCAACGCACAGAAACACATCTGAGCTAGCCCACCAAAAGCGAAATGCGAACAGCCAACCACAATCTACCCGTAACCATGCACAGGACACGTGAGGTATAGTAATGCGAGATTGCTGGCTCCATAATGACCCACACAAATTGCTAGCTCGTCCCACATTCACAAAACCCCATGCATCCTGCGTTCTTAATGTGATATTTCTTCGGTCCCTGTATTTTTCCATCGTGTGGAAGCAACCCTCGATTTGGCTCCCTTTTATGGCCTGCAGACGTCTCTGGGGAAACAATCTCAGTGGCTCGATACCCGCAACAATAGGCAGCGCTCAAGCTCTGATCGAAATGTGAGCTTCTTGAATGTGTAGAGCAGGATGTCCCATGTGGTGCGCTACAGATATGATCATATGGTTGCACTTAATTACAGCGCCCATACCACTAATCTATGGATACACTTTTCCCTGTTTCCGCACTTGTCAGCCAGCATGTGCTGTTCTCCTCGTTCTCTCTAAGTCTCTCATCTTCTCTTTCTATGATCTCCTCTTCCATGGAGTCCCGACCGCCTTTCCATCAGGACCTTCAGTGGAAATGGGTGGATGCCACTTACCTTGTTCATTGAGATTACAATTGTTTCAAATTGTTTTTATTTCACCGGACCTATCCCATCCAGTATTGGGCTGCCCCCCAATATTCTTCTCCTCTGATTCCCCTCCTTTGCTCTAAGCCACCATTCATCCCTAACATCTGTATCTCTGTCGATCCCTACATCCTTCCCTCCACCCCTCTCCAGTTTTTATATCTCGTCACTCCCTCACTCTGCTCCCTGTCCAGTTTTGTCCCACTCCACTATCTCTCTACCCACGGAATCCACCTGTTGCCTTGTCCCCTGTTAGGGATTTATCTTTCAACGCCTTAGATGGCTTGATTCCATCAGCCATTGGCAGCTTGACCAACCTGACATATCTGTTAGTATCCCAAATCACCCCACTCGTCTATGGGTAGAAGTAACAAGGATGTGGGTACTCATTCGTACAGGGACGTGCCTTGTTGCTCATTCATTTTCCTGCTGTATTTGGCACCTAACTGTTCCTTATTTTCTTGTCCATTCTTATGCCGTCCCCTACTCCTTAAACCTTCCATGATGCACGTGATAACTTGAATGATCCATTGGTTCAAAGAGTGAATTAGGGTCACCAACCAGAAGGCGGTTGGGATAAAAAAACTACTCTAGGGTAGTAAAAAGGGATTTCACTCTACATGTTAATCTAAGCAATCTATATTTTCACAAGCCTCCTTCCCACTGCTGACCAGATCTTTATGTGAAGATCACTTGATCCGGTCAATTCCATCCACTTGCCACCCCCTCACCTCTGACATGCAAACCACAACCACAAACATCGCACCATTCTTGGCACCAACAACCTTCACCTGTCATTATTCCTTGGCCACATTGTACGGCTTTGGATTTTCTTCTTGCCGTGTCTTGATTAGGTGGTCAACTTAAGGGTCTTCTGTGAATTTAATCAACCATGTGGTTGTGCTATCTGTTCGTCTCTTTTTTGAATTTTCTTTTGCATTCTTTTTTATTGTTCATTGTGCAAGAAGCAAGGCATGACGTACTTTCCGTTCTTCTCTTATCAGAAACCTAGTTGGCAACAGATTGACCGGACGCATTCCTGAGTCTATTGGATACTTCAAGCTCACGAAGCTTGAATACTTGTGAGTTCTCGTTTCCTCTAAATAAGGTGGGCCGAAGCCAGACCACAAATGACAAATCTTGGAACAAAGAAGCCTTTAGTTATGGCCATTCTTTAACTAGTCTTACTTTTCGAGTGAGGGTAGAGTTTTTTTTAGTGGCTTGGGTGTAACAAAATACCTTACTCACCAAAATGTGAGCAGCCTAGCATTTTTTAATTAACCTATTGGAAACTTTGTTTGATCTATTTGCGGAATCCCCACTTTTTCCCGTGCTTATCCATTGTGGGTTAACGTGATAAGCATTTCATACCGAATGAACATATGAAGCTCGTTCCCGTCCATCCTGTTCCTTTCCAAGCATGATGGTCTATCATGAGCTCATTCTCATGCAGGCATGGTATCTACACGCATTAGGTCATGTTGGGGACTATGCCCGTTGAGAGAAGCCTGGGAAGTGATACTTGCTGCCAGCTGAACGTTTCTGTACGACCTGGAAATCGTGTCAGGACCATTGGCTCTGTTTATACACACTCATGTCAATCTGTGTGTGTGTGTGTGTTTTTTTTTTTCAGCTTCACTCTTGTCGTAGTATATGGTGTGTATAGGGAACACTGATTTTTTGGGTTTAGGATTAGGGCTTCTAGTTTTTCTTGGCCTTACATGCATCAGCCATGCAACCTTATATGTAAAGAAATCCATTATCCATTCCTATTTATGAAAATAACGTATTTCCGGGGACCAAGGTCCAGCTAGTTTGCATCAACTTTCCAAACCATGGGAGATTTGTACATGTGCAGGAGCGTTGATGTAGCAGTCACATGTCCACCTGACTACAGCAACTGCACAGTCAATCAACGTACCGCTAGCGCTTTCTGTCAGCAGTGCGATAACTTTTGCGTTACTTGTGGCAAGACAGCACCGCGTGAGTGTAACCACATCCCTCCAGCTCTTGTTTCATGCAATTTCAAAAGTGATGCTTTCTCCTTGTCGCAATGTTTTCAACTCTTAATGCCTCCCTTGTGATCCAATTTTTCCCACTTCTCTCTCCCTTTCCTCTGCTCCTTCCCCCCACTTCCCTTCTCCCCTCTTATCCCCCCCCCCACCCCACCCCCCATTTCCCCCATTTCGCCATCTAAGCACCCCCTCTCCTTTCTCCAGCACCCCCCTCTCCCTCCCCAGCGCCCCCCTCCCCCTCCGTAGCGCCCCCTCTCCCCTCTCCAACGCCCCCCACAGCGGCCCCATCCACACCATCCTCCACCTCTCCAACTCCTCCTCTGTCAGTTGGAGCCATTGCCGGCATTGCTGTTGCTGCTGTGGCTGCCCTGCTACTGCTGCTACTAGGCGTGGTTCTATGTAGGAGAAGCCGCAAGAAGGGAGCAGCACGAGGAACATCCATGCCCAATAATGGAAGCAAGGAGGTCATAATAGGAGGGACAATACCAGGCAAGAATATATTCCCTAGATTCCAAGTGGTCAAACAGAAACGTTATACCCCCAACAGTTCTCACTCCTCCTACCCTCTCTGTGGAGAGAACTATTCTCTCTACCTCCCTTCTTTCTCTCTCAAGCGCCCTGTTTTGCTCATTTTCACCCCTGCTCCTTGCCCCACTTTCTGTTTCGTTTACACGCGCCACACACTTATCGTTCTATCATTCCTCCACTTACCCTCTAACATGCAGAAGCACATGGGGAGCAACAGGATCAAGAAGCAGCGGCAGCTGCTGTGGCAGCTGCAGCTGTAAGATGTCGAGAAGAAGATGTGGTGGTGGAGATGGAGGCAGCGCAGCCACATGTGTGCCAGGAGTACTCCCTGGAAGAGCTGGCAAAGGCAACGGCGGATTGGGCAGAGGAGAACAGGATTGGCAGCGGCAGCTTTGGGGATGTCTACAAGGGCGTGCCTCCCTACAGCTGCACCCAAGCGTGGGCAGTCAAACGAGCCAGAGTACTTACTAACGACTTCCAGATTGAGGTATGCTATCCTGGATGCTTCAACCGCTCATGAGAATTTTGTTTAACTGTTCGTGATATTTCCAGAGCTCGATTCCCTCCACCTGACACCACCGCGAATCCTCTGCACCCACTCACACTTCTTCCTCTTCCAGGTGAAAGAGATGGCCAGCAAGCACCACCCTCATCTTGTGCGGCTGCTTGGCTACTGTATGGATGTAAACTCATCCACAAAACACATAGAGCAGATCTTGATCTACGAGTACATGGAGAACAAGGACCTTGACAGCTGGATCGGCCCAGGCGTCTCCCATTCCCTATCTCTGGGCCAGCGGTTGGACGTTCTGATTGGAGTGGCAAAGGGGCTGCAGTACCTTCATGACTTTGGCATTGTGCATCGCGACATCAAGCCAGCCAACATTCTCCTTGATGCAAAAATGCAGGCATGTCCAAGATCCCAAGAAAGATAACAACTTATCTATTATCTCTTTTCATGCTTGCCCCTCTCCTCGCTTGTGCCATGGGTCCGTTCCACCATTGGCCAGCCAATTTTCGCGTTACTTCATTTTTGTACAAGATAAGCTCTCTTGGTTGTTTCCTCTCTTTCTTGCTAGCTGACCCCTCATCCCTTTTGATGATACAACATCTCCAGCCATTACGAACCAACTTTTACTCATTTGTGCTCATACATATTATTCCTACTATCGGGGTTGTGGCAGGCCAAGATTGCATAAAATTATATATTGTCGAGATTTCGAGAATCTGTACCAAGAGGTTCCAGAAAAAATATACTATGGTGTCCTCGTCTTCATGCCTCTGTGTTTGGTGAGCAGGCCAAGATTGCAGACTTTGGGCTGGTGAAGCTGAGTGGAGGCACCTCCATGGGCACCTCCATGGCGGCCACTCGAGTGATGGGAACACCGGGCTATGTGGACCCCGCCTACTACAAGACACACAAGGCCACCCCAGCAGCAGACGTGCACAGGTGAGTCCATGGACATTGTAGCGCAAGTGTTTAGCGTGAGATGAAGGACGTAACGTCTTGTTTATCAGTAGGAATGTACAATATGAACAAATTGCACAAGTATGAGACAATTCACTTCACTGAATACTCCTTTTGTGGTGGTTTTGTCTTTTCATGGGCAGCTTTGGCGTTGTGATGCTGGTGGTCATCACGGCGCGCAAGGCTGTTTACATGACAGAGGACAGCCAGATCAACCTCAAGCAATGGGTGAGTCTCACTTACACCATACATTCATTCAGTCAAGCTGTGCAAGCACGTTTTATGCATGTGAGCAAATGCATAACATATGCATTCGAGCAAGTTGAATATAACATACGCAAGAAAAAAAAATGCTACATGGATGCAACTCTAGGTTTGTTGTACACTAAATTGCTCCACTCCACAATGCACTGGAAATTTTGATGGTACTCGATAATCTCTTACACATGGCCCGCCTACACCCCACCCTGCAGGTGGCTCCACTGGTGGCGTCCAGTGCCGTGGCAGCATTCAAGGACCCTCACTTGGATGCACCGGATGACTTGGTGCTGCGCATGGCGCGCCTTGCCCTTACCTGCACTGCCATGCCCACTGCCTCCCGCCCCACCATGGGTCGAGTGCTGGGAGATCTGCTGGTGCTGAGGGAGGATGTGCTTGGGGATGAGGCGCACAGGGCTGCACGCCGCATTGACAGGGAGATTGGCGCCTCGGATGACTCCAGCTTTACTGCTCAGATGGCAAAAGCGGAGCAGATGGGCGCGCAGAGTGGCTCTTCCACCAGCGTGTGACTCGCTGAAGGTGGTTTTGAGTTAACTGGATTGGCATATTCTGGGATGGGTTGAAGGTAGTGGCGCAAGAGTCTGCTGTCAACTGACACCTCATGAAACAAGCGGCCATGCATGTCCTTCTGCTTTTGAATCAACTCAAGGTCGCAGAATCTGCTATCAACTGCCACCTCGTGAAACTATGCTCTCTTCATGCATATTCACTGGTATTTCCTTTTGCTTACTGTCATTCATTTGCATCCTCCCTCGACTTCCTTGTTAGACCAGCATGCTCTCTCTCGTGTTACAGATATTTCTCTGGTATACCATGTCCTGATGTGCACTTCATTGTGCCCTTCAGAATAAATTGCACACTGTAGGATTAGCTGAGATTCAAGTTAGGGACTATTCAAATGAGCCAGCATCAGACCTACCTCATGTAAGACTCGCATTGCACCGAGCTGAACTGCAGTGAACCTTAGGGTCAACCTTTTGCACTTCATAGCACTGCCTATGTCTGTCGCGAGGCGCAGGGATACACCCTGAGAGCTGATCTCTTTCTATCACCTGCAATCTACTCTATTGGCTATTGGAATGGTGGTGGCCTTTATGACACAGCAGCGGCATCAAAACATAATTTAGTGTTAAGAAGGTAGGTTAGGAGCTAGCTAGGCATAGGAAAGTAGCGGGATGTTTTAGACTATGAGAAAATGTCGAGAGAGAAGAGGGACAAGACTAGAAGAGAGGGATACAAGGAGTGAGTTGTACCCTCTACAGTAGGATTCAGTAGTGTAGCACATCTACCAAGCCTAACCATATATATATATATATATAAATATAATTTGACACACCCCCTAGGCTTGGTAGTGGCAAGCCCACCCCACACACAGCACCCCTATGCCCTGCAGCAGCTATGGGGTCGACCAGCCGGTCGACCCCTCGGCAATCGAGGTTGCGAGGTCGACGGCGGGTCGCAGCGGCGGCGGCAGGGCCTGCAACACCTGCGGCGGCGTCGAGGCACCCGGCGGCGTGGCTCACACTGCGACAACGAGGGGGAGGACGGCACGAGGCCGCCAGCAGCTGCGGCAGGGAGGAGGGGAAAGGCAGAGGAGGGGAACCGGGGGGGGGGGAATCTTCAGCGAGGCACCATGGCTGGCGCGGCGCTTACTGGCATGCGGGCGAGAGGACGCTGCTAAAACCAAGCGCTGCTGGAGCGTCGACAGCGCCACGGCAGCACGACAACGCCGTCACGGCGTGGCGTCGACGCCACGGCAACGCGTTGAGGCTGCCAGGGCAGCCTGACGAAGCCGCCATGGCAGCGCGACATGGCCGTGGCGGCGGCGCGGAAGTGACAAGAGAAAGGAGCGTACGCTGCGGAAGCGTGAGGAGAAGGCCCGAGCGGAAGGGCCTGCTCTAAAACCATGTTAAGAATGTAGATTAGGAGCTAGGCATAGGAAAGAAGTGAGAGGTTTTAGACTAGGAGAAATTGCCAAGAGAGAAGTGTTAGAATAACGCAATGAACTAGATTGAGCCATACAGGGAGGTTTTGTGCTATGGTGATGTACCCTCTATGAGCATGCACCTATCTAGCCTATAACGTACACAAATAAATGTTGACACACCCCCTAGGCTAGACAAGGGGCAGTGCTTGGCAAGAGACACACAGCTCAAGGTGGCACTACTAGTCCAACCTCTGAGGCAAGGGTCTGAAGACCAGTCAGGAGAGTACAAACAAGACAAGAGCAAACAAGGGTGGCACTACTAGTCCGGCCACTGGAGAAAAAGCCACAAGGCCAGTTAGGAGAATATAATAAGAGTAGCACACATGCAATGTCCTAGCAATTGAGGAGCTACTGGAACTAGATCAATCTGTAGACAGTGCCACTGATGATCATTAGGCGCAAGCGCCTTAGTAAAGATATCATCTGTATTGGCACCGGAGGCCAAGTGAACTACGCGGGCCTGGCGTCGCTGCTGCAACTCGCTCAGGAGGAATTACCGCAGCTGGATGTGCTTCGCTCTGCCCTCCAGTCGAGGCTCCTGACACAGGAGGATCATGGCCCTGTTGTCAGTGTACAGGACCGGGCAGAGCTAGGCCGCTCACCTAAGTCTGTGAGCAAGAACGTCAGCCAGCGGAGCTCGTGTGCCGCCATGGCACCAGCGTAGATCTCAGCCTCGCAGCTAGACTGTGCAACAGACGACGAGCGGGTGGACCTCCAGGAGACTGCGCTTGCACCAAGAATTAAACAGTAGCCCTAAGAGGACCTGAGCGTCTCTGCGTCGTCGGCCCACAAAGCGTCTGTGTGCCCTGTCAGGACCACTAGCCTGCGTCCTCCTAGCACTAGCCCTATGCCCAATGTACTTGGTCGATAACGCAAAACCCTCTTCGTTGCCGACCGGTGCTGTGGTCGGTGTCTGCCTGTCGCCACAAAGCGAGCCGAAATGTTGAGAGGTTATGCGAGATCTGGACGAGTGTAAGTCATCAGGTATATGAGGCAACCCACCAGCTCTGCGTACAGACCACTAGGCTCTACCGACTCCTCAGGGACTGGAGCCGAGAGCGTGTGATCTACTTGCAGAGGTGTGGACTGCGCGGAGGAGAACTGAAGACCGAACCTCTGAAGGACCTGGCGCACCAAGTGTTACTGTATGAGAGTGATGGTGCGCGCTGCTCTGTCCCTGGAGATCTGAAGCCCAAGGTAGCGGTGCAACTCTCCTAAGTCAGTACAGGTGTGTCTCCTCCGCAACTCGGCCTTCACCGAGGCCAGAGCGTCTCTGTCTGTAGTAGCAAAGACCAGGTCGTCTACGTAGACAAGGATGTAGAACAGGGTCTGTCCTGAATGGACAAAGAGTGAAGGGTCCGCAGACGACAGGAAGAACTGTAATTCAGCTAACGTAGCACGCAGTGTGTCGTGCCACTCACGAGGCGCTTGCCGCACGCCGTAAATTGGGCGCCGGAGGAGCCACTCGGTCCCAGGGGCGAAGGTGACGGTGAGCCTCGGCGGACGGTGCAGGTAGACCTGCTCGTGTAGACTGCCCTGGAGAAACGCTGTGGAGAAGTCTAGAGAGTGCAGCTCATAGTCACGCTGAGCTGCTACGTGTAGCAGCGCCCGAAGAGTGGTCATCTTCGGGGTCGGGGCGGCCTGAAAGATTCAACACCCTCGCGCCGACCAAAGCCTCTAGCAACGTAGCGCGTCTTGAATACTGGCGGCTCTCTAGGAGGGCGCTTCACCTTGAAGAGCCACCGGCCATCGACTACGTTCACCCCAAGTGGAGGAACTGCGTCGACGTAGGTGGCGGTGGATCTCCAAGATGCCATCTCCGCGTCCATGGCAGCTATCCACTGAGAGGCCCAGGGTCCCGAGGTCGCCTCAGCGTAAGTGCGAGGGGTCGGTATGTCAAAGGTGACTGTAACACCCTCAGGGACTAGCAGCATGGAGCAGAGATGAGGGGCAACCTCGGACAAGAAAGCAAGCTCATACTGCTGGTCATCGAGGACGTCACTGCCGAGGGCAGGAGCACCCCTGACGGACGGAGGACGGGCAGGGTCAGAGACTAGAGCAGTGGCGTAATCAAGGCGATGGGTAGAGGCAAAGTCAGTGATGGCAGCAACAAGAGCGTCAAGGCTCAAGACAGGAACAGACGGGTTGGTAACGAGGGAGGCAAGGACTCGAGGAACAAGAGGACTAGCAGCATGAATGTAGTCGGACAAAGGAGGCGGAGTGACAACAAGCAACGACGAAGGAGGCGACGAGAGGAGGGGAGGATGAGACACCTGGGAACGGAGCAACATAGGGTGAGAGCGCTGAACAGGAGAGACAGGATGGGCACGAGAGGGACGGTGAGACCAGAAGTGGGACGGAGGCGTTGAATCAGGGGACATTGGAGGAGACACAGGAGGAGAACAATGGGGGAAACGAGCCAAAGACGAGTCCGACAGTGGAAACGCAGGGCCGTAGAGAGGCAGGGGAGGCGGCTGCGGGGGAGGCGTAGGCGGGTGGTCAGGGGAGGGAAGACTGAGGAGGCAAAGGGCGGACACCGGCGGCGTCTGCTGCTCCTGCTGCTGATCCACACCGACACCAGAACCTCCAACTGCACAACGGGTGCCTCCGGGTCTCTCCACGCCAACACCCCCAGAACGAGAACCCTTTCCAACAACAGTGCCACCCCCAGAACCACCACAAGCCATGTGCCCAGTGCAGACCCGGGTTCGATTACTGGCTAGCACATGGTGTTTTATTTTTGTTGACCTAAACAAAAAAGGGGGGAAACAAAAGGCCTATTTTTGGCCTCATACCATGGCCTGCCTCTCTCATATGATATGTATATATTAAAAAAAAAAAAACAGAAATAATGGTGGGGGGCAGCAGCGCGTATAAAGCCTTTGTAGTTTGATCTCGTAGTTTGATCTAGTATCTAGTATCTAGTAGTTTTATTCTCGCTCATTCCGTTCCTGCAGCAGCGCATATAAAGCCTCTAGTAGTTTGATTCTCGCTCATTCCGTTCCTGCAGCAGCGCATATAGAGCCTTAGTAGTTTGCTTCTCACTCACTTCGTTCCTGCAGCAGCGCATATAAAGCCTTAGTAAGGCTTGCATCTAGTAGTTTGCTTCTCACTCACTTCGTTCCTGCAGCAGCACGTACAAAGCCTTAGTAAGGCTCACATCTAGTAGTTTGCCAAAGCCTTTGTAAGGCTCGGTATGGGCAGGTGGAGCTGAAGGGTGAGGGGGAGGATGTGCCAAGGAGGAGGGTGGAGGTTCGGCATCTGTACTGTGAGAGCGGATGGGTGTCATCAGAAAGACCAGATGGGGCTGCTGCATCTGGAGGGGTCTGGTGTGGCAGAGGAGAGGGATGCTGATTAGAGGAAGAAGGCTGGCGTGAGGAGAGGTCTTGGAGCAAGGTGCTGGCAAGGACATGGTGAAGAACCGTTTTCTGCTGCTGGGAGACACGGACTGCAGCGGGGGAGCGCGAAGAGGCCACATCCCATCTCCCCCTCTTCCAGCACCATGCCTCCTAGCCTTCCCCCTCTGCCTCCAGCGTCAGTTCCTGCCCCCAAATTAACCTGCCCCACTTGCCAACGTTTTTTCTCGAACCCGGGCGGTCTGACTCATCACATGTCTGCATGCGCATGCAACACCGCCACTCGTCAACAAGCTGCCCGCCCCCCTCCTCCTCGTCCTTCCCCTTCTGCCGCAGCTTCCACGCCAGCAGCCCCACCTACCATCCCGCTAGCCACGTAGGAGGCCGCCCTCACATGGGATTGGCCTTCCTTCTTCAGCCTTGCTATTATCGTCTGAATGTCTTACTCTCATCAGCTCACCCACTTCCTCTTTCCCCCATAATCAGTGTCCTCCGCTCTCAAGCTTCCATTCTTTTGAAACAAATTAAC